TAGTCAAGTGTATGGCACTTTGACTATCACAGTGAATATCAATAACACCTTGATATAGACTTAGCTCGCTAAATAAACTCTTCAACCACAAGGCTTCTTTGATTGCCTCGGTCACAGCCATATATTCTGCTTCAGTAGTAGACAAAGCTACGACAGGTTGTAGAGTAGCTTTCCAACTAACAGCACAACCGCCAATGCAAAATACATAGCCTGAAAGTGATCTTCTCCTGTCAAGATCTCCAGCGTAGTCTGAGTCTACAAAACCAACCAAAGTGTTATTATTTCTTCCAAACTCCAAACATGCATTTGAAGTACCTCGCAAGTATCTGAGAATCCACTTCACAGCCTGCCAATGTGTTTTACCAGGGCAAGACATATATCTGCTAACAACACTGACTGCTTGTGCAATATCTGGACGAGTACAAACCATTGCATACATAATACTGCCGACTGCACTGGAATAAGGAATCCGTGCCATATAATCTTCCTCTTCATCTGATTTTGGTGATTGAGCAGCAGATAGCCGAAAATGGCTAGCAAGAGGAGTAGATACTGGTTTAGCATCTTTCATGCCAAAACACTCCAAAACTTTCTCAAGGTAATTTTTCTGGGTCAAGAACAATTTCCCTACTCCTCGATCTCGCTTGATATCCATGCCAAGAATTTTCTTAGCTGCTCCTAAATCTTTCATTTCAAATTCACTATTTAACTGCAGTTTCAAAGTGTGAATTTCTGACAAATTCTTGGCAGCAATGAGCATATCATCAACATAAAGCAGCAAATAAATGAAAGAACCATCATTTAACTTCCGGAAGTAAACACAACTATCATACATGCTCCTCAAATAACCATGACCCAACATAAAGGAATCAAACCTTTTATACCATTGTCTTGGAGACTGCTTCAATCCATATAAGGATTTCTTCAATAAGCAAACATGGTCTTCCTTACCTTCAATCTCAAAACCCTGGAGTTGTTTCATATAAATTTGTTCTTCAAGTTCGCCATGTAAGAAAGCTGTCTTAATATCAAGCTGCTCTAACTCCAAATTATACATGGCTACTAAAGCAAGCAAAACACGAATAGAGCTATGTTTAACAACAGGTGAGAATATATCATTAAAATCAACACCTTGTACCTGACTATAGCCCTTTGCAACTAATCGTGCTTTATACCTTGCATCTTCAACCCCTGGAATACCTTCCTTCTTCTTGAAGACCCACTTGCAACCAACAATTTTCTTAGCTGACGGCGGCTTTACAAGAACCCAAGTTTCATTACGATGAAGAGATTCAATTTCTTCATTCATCGCAATCAACCATTTTGCAGAATCATCACAAGAAACTGCTTCTGAATAGGTGGAAGGCTCACCAACTGCATCAGTTTCTTCTGCAATAGACAAAGCATATGCAACTAAATTTGCATATCTTTGTGGTGGTCGAATGTCTCTCCTTTGTCTATCTCTGGCTATGGAATATTCCTCTTCTTCTGAACTATCTTCCACAGTAGACTCAGGTGCATCTACTGGCATTTGTTGAATAGAAGATTTGGTCTGAGAAGGACCAGAACTGCCAATATCAAGCTCCACCTGCTTCTGTGTACTATCAGTAGTACAAGGACTGGAAGACTCCTTCTTGGAAGATAACATACACAATTCATCAAAAGTAACATCTCTACTGATCACAAATTTTGGAGATTTGGGATCAGGACACCATAATCTATATCCTTTCACCCCAGAAGCATACCCAAGAAAAATGCACTTTTTAGCCCTAGGCTCCAATTTTCCATCATTCACGTGCATGTATGCTGGACACCCAAAAACTTTTAAATTGGAGTAATCAGCAGGAGTACCTGACCAAACTTCTTCAGGAGTTTTGAAATCAAGAGATGCAGAAGGAGAACGGTTGACAATATAACAGGCCATATTGATCGCCTCTGCCCAAAAGTCGTTTGTCAACCCTGCATTGGAGATCATACATCTTGCTCTCTCCAAAAGAGTTCTGTTCATACGTTCGGCCACACCATTTTGTTGAGGCGTCATCCTGACGGTGTGATGCCGAACAATTCCTTCATTCTTGCAGAATTCATTAAATTCACCTCCACAAAATTCCATGCCATTATCTGTTCTCAACCGCTTAATGTGTTTTCCTGTTTGCTTCTCAATCAAAACTTTCCATTGCTTGAAAGTTAGGAAAACATCATTTTTATGCTTAAGAAAATATACCCAAACTTTCCTTGAATAATCATCAATGAAAGTCAACATGTACCTGGCACCACCTTTAGAAGGAGCACGAGAAGGCCCCCAGAGGTCTGAATGAATGTAGTCTAAAGTTCCTTTGGTCCTGTGAACTGCCGGCAACTGGAAGCTAACTCTCTTCTGCTTTCCAAAAATGCAATGTTCACAGAGTCCCATCTTTCCAATACTTTGACTACCAAGAAGACCTCGTTTGCATAAGATAGATAAGCCCTTCTCGCTCATGTGCCCCAATCTCATGTGCCATAATTTGGTGATGTCTGTATCTGACAAAGATGATGTTGAAACAGCAGCAGCACCTGTAACAGTAGATCCCTGCAAAATATATAGAGTACCAGATCTGTGTGCCTTCATAACAACAAGAGCACCTCGAGTGATTTTGAGAACTCCGTCTCCACCTGAATACCTGCACCCTATAGACTCAAGAGTGCCCAAAGAGATGAGATTTTTCTTCAAATCTGGAACATGTCTAACATCTGTGAGCGTCCTCACAATACCATCGTACATTTTAATTCGGATTGTGCCTTTGCCAACAACTTTACAAACAGCGTTGTTGCCCATTAAGACAACTCCACCTTCAGTTGATTCATATGTTGAAAACCAGTCCCTGTTGGGACACATATGATACGAACAACCCGAATCTAAAATCCACTCATTGTTAGACCTAAAATTATTTTCCGTTGCACAGAAAATGGTTCCATCATTCTCATCAGCTGCTATACTAGCTTCAGCGGATTCAGTATTTTTCTCAACAAATTTCCCTTTTTGCTTTTCTTTATTTTTCAATTTAAAGCAATCAGAGATAACATGGCCCTTCTTTTTACAATAATTGCACACCACATTTTTATGTCTGGACTTGGATCTACTTCTATTTTCTGTGTTTCTCTTTTCAGATCTACCCCGAACAAACAAGCCATCGGCTTGACTCCCACTAGTTTCCCCGGTAATGTCCCTATCTATCTGCTCTTTAGATTTTAATGCAGATTTAATTTTCCGATACGAAATTGTTTCCTTTCCATAAATCATAGTATCGCGGAAATGCTTAAAAGACTGGGGAAGGGAACACAAAAGTAATAGGGCTTGATCTTCATCATCAATTTTCGAATCTATATTCCCCAAATCCATAATAATGGAATCAAATTTATCAAGATGGGAGAGTATAGATGTACCTTCAGACATCCGAAGCATGTACAAACTCTGCTTCAAATATAGTCGATTCTCGACTGTCTTCTTCATATACAAGGCTTTCAATTTATCCCACATAGCCTTGGCCGAAGTCTCCGTTGCTACCTCACGCAATACCTCATCGGAGAGATTTAGGATAATACTGGATCTTGCCTTCTTATCCATCTCAGCAAAATTTGCATCTGTCACATCTTCTGGCTTTTTCTCAATTCCTTGAATTGCCAAATCAACTCCGTCTTGAACAAGAATGGCCTCCATCTTGAGCTGCCACATGCCGAAGTTGACATTCCTGTCGAATTTCTCGACAACCGTCTTTGTTATCGTCATTGTTGCCACAAAATCTGTAACCTGAAGTTTGTCTCAAAAAAACTGGCCAAACAAATATGCAAGTCTCGTAAGCGGGCCCCACAGGGTGAGCGGACCCCACGAGATAAGCGGGCCCCACGGGAATGAACGGACCCCACAAGGTGAGCGGGCCCCACGGATAAACGAACCCCACAGGATTAGTGGGCCCCACAGGATGGACGGACCCCACCAGATGAACGGGCCCCACCAGATGAACCTGTCTTGCAAAATATAACAACCAGCTCTGATACCAGTTTGTTAGGATCGGGTCAGGAAGTAGACAAATTCAAGTTAGCACAAAGTAGGCGGTATAACCGACCATATAATAGATAGGCGGTAGATACCAGCCATATAATAATTAGGCGGTAAAACCGACCATATAAAGACGGATAACAAAGCAAATAAAAGACACAGAAGATTTACGTGGTTCGGTCAAATTGACCTACGTCCACGGGCGAGGGAGGAGCAATATTTCTACTATGAAGAAGAAATACAAAAGCCGTAGGAAAGTGGTTCCTAGGCCAATAGACACTTACAAAAAAGTTTAGAAAATATTCCTAAACTCAAAACAAGAGAGCCTAAAATATTTGACTGAATGGGCTAAATGACTCAAGAAGCTAATAGCCCATATTACTCCCTTGAGTGGTGCTCTTAAACTTCTCAAAGGCCTTCTCTATTTATAGGCCTCGAGTAGCCGACTTCTCTTCAGCAGGCTCCGATGTGGGATGAGAAGGAAATGAAAAAATTATGCCACAAGTCAAAGCTTGCGGCTCTGACAAAACAACACATGTATCAGCAACTTTCCCTCTTATTCTTTTCTGGCAACCGCATAGAAGGATTATGGTTAATGAAAGCTGGCAATAGATAAACCAATCTGACCTTGTTATATATTCACTAGTCATCACCAAAAAAAATGAAAAAACATGCGTCGTCTGTTAACTTTTTGAATGACATATATCATCTTTTGCTGAAAAGAGAAGTCACGAGACAATGAATCCTTGCTTAACAAATGCAAATGTGAACAACACAAAGAAAATGATACCGTTGCTAAGAAAACTAGTGGTATGTTTCCTTCAAAGTCTCAAATCTGTCTTCAAAATTCACCAGAAGAGCTTGGAGCTCTTCTTTAGGAATCAAAATTAGCAGTGCCAGTGGAATGCCTTCAAGACAGGTACGTCTGCATTCCCTCAATAATGAAACTATACAAGCAATGCCTTCATCGGCCTTCTTCTACTGAGATAGTTATCTCATTGATGGAGTTAATTTCTGCTTTACTAGGCAAAGATGCAGATCTACCTGAAGCGCGTCTTCTCGCTAAAAAAGTAGGTTGATTAGGACTTGGAAGAGTTGTTGTTTCACTACTGAGCATAGTAAGAACATTAGACATTGTGGGACGATCACTAGGATCATCCTGTACACACAACAGACCTATGTTTATGCACTTCACGACTTCAGTTCCATTGCATGATTCCAATAATTTCTTGTCAACTAAATCCATTGCTTTGTTTTCTTGCCACAATCTCCATGCCTGGGAGAGTGTTAGAATAAACATATCATTCTAAAACATCAATAAACATCAAATTTACAAGGTTCTCGAATCTCAAAGACTTACATAGCCTAGAAGACTCAGGATTTCTTCGGATCGGTAAAACCCAGCAGTGTTTCTCTTACCACCAATGATCTCAAGTAAAATTACTCCAAAACTATACACATCTGATTTCACTGAGAATAAACCTTCCAGCGCATACTCTGGAGACATATAGCCACTGCATCACGAGCAATCATCAGAACAACAGTCACCTTATAGCAAATTCTATGAGAAAGGCTGAGGAAATCAATGAACTTACTAGGTTCCAACTACTTTTTGTGTATTTGCTTCTGTCTCGTAGCCTTGAACGATTCTTGCCAAGCCAAAATCTGAAATTTTGGGGTTCATCTCTTCATCCAACAGAATGTTGCCTGTTTTCAAATCTCTGTGGATTATTCTTAACCTTGAATCCTGGTGAAGATAAAGAAGTCCCCGTGCAATCCCCAGAATGATGTTGAATCTCAAGTTCCAGTTCAATAATATGCAGCGGCTTTGATCTTAAGAAGTTTGCAGAGTAAACAATTCAGAATATAATATAACCATAAAAGAAGGTCGGTTGTTTTAAAATATTTGGTTAGATTAATTGGCTCAAAATATAATGTGGTTCCTTAATTGCCTTAGACTCTAATAGCTGAAAGTTGAACAAAAGTTTCAAATGCTAACCAAATATAAAGGTATCTAAGCTTTTATTTGGCATGTATTCATAGAGAAGAATTTTTTCAGATCTCTGGATGCAGTAGCCCAAGAGTCTAACTAGGTTCCGATGTTGAAGTTTAGCAATCAACACAACTTCATTTCGAAATTCCTCCAGGCCTTGTCCAGAGTGGCTTGACAACCTTTTAACTGCAATTTCAGTTTCTCCAGGGAACATTCCCTGCAAGAGTAGTCCACTCGTTGTAAAGCTTAGGGAGAATAAACTAATGGAATCCGGATGACTAACACAAAAATAAGTTCAAAACCTTGTAAACAGGGCCAAATCCTCCGCTTCCCAGTTTATTTGTGTCTGAGAAGTTAACTGTAGCAGCCGATATGCTTTCCATACTGAAATAAGGGACATCAACAATTTTATCATCTCCGACAACCAAATCTGCAGCTTGTGTTTCACTATCATCCAAGTAAAAGACTGGATTCCCTGCAATGCTTTTTCTGCTTTCTGATGGGAAGCAACAGTACTAGTTAGGCCTTATCTACCCTAATTAGAAAAAATTTGTACTACAACACAAAACGGTTCAGGTAATTAATGTCAGCTGCTGCATTAGCACCTTTTCTATTTGCTAAGATCCTCCTTCTGTAAACAACAAAGCATAAGCTGCACGTGAGCATAACTATAGCAATGGCTAAGCTACTAATTATCACAGCAATACGATTCACAGAGAGTTGCGGCTTCTGTTCTGACCGGTTTGAATCAGCCACAATTGCTGCAAAAGAAAAATTAACTAGTGAACCTAGTGATACATAAGATTTTTACCCAACAGAGCTGATGAAATAGATCCTTTTTTTCTTCAGAAACATGATATCACATGCAAAATTATATGTTCGCACCTGAAATGCACTTCAAGGTCAGGTTATTCCATTTGTAGTTGGGATTGCAAAGACACCTTTTCCGCTTATCGATTGCAGTTGAACAATTTGAATCTGGCCAACCCCTACAATCTTTTAATGAATTGCAAATTGGTTCCGGAGGGGGTTTCCAGGTAATCTCTATCATTTGTCCAGCTTGAATTGAGGTAAGTGGTTCATTATAACACCAATTAGTAACATTAAATGGCATTGATGGACTGAACTGCAGAACTCTGCCTGACCTGGCATCACAATTCTCAGCCCTTTGGCGATTAACTTGGATAACAAATCTCCTGTCTTCCTTATTGATGTTAATCACTTCATAGCTATTGTTCAACATCAAGAAGAAAAGTTGGCCTCTGGAGTCATTACAGGTGAAACTATGGTATGAAAGATCGCCGCAGTTGGGCCCAGTGCTCAATGGATATGGTATTATGTGTTTACCACAAGTCTGGCAATCTCTACTCGTGGTTTCTGCAAATCATAATTTAGAAGTAACAAAAGATATTTTCATGCAATATTTAACAAACTACATTGACTATTACACATACTCATGAGTCGAATATTTGTTAATTTTAGTGGCAGACAGCATCAGGCGAAAAATAAATTTTACTCTAATTCAATGTCATTTAAGGTAGTGGTAAAATTTGGGATAGTAGATGACTTCAAATTCTTATTAAAAGAAGGCTACCTATGGCAGAAACTGCTACACGAAAGGAAAGATTGTGGCCACGATCAATATCCTCTTGTAAATCAGTAAGCACAGAAGTCCACATGGAGCAACCAGCTTCAAGATTATCAGTTATACTTGGCCCGCCGAAATAGTATGCAACGCAGTCACAATTGCTGAGACACCCCTGTCTGCACAAATTTTCACTGTTAGCACTAGCTGCCGGTAAATCTGGTTTCCCCGCTTTCATCAACTTAAGATTCAAGAACGTGTCAGGTTTGGTATTCGGGTTGCAGATTTCCAACGTCCTCCTACAACCACTACTAAAATGCCCAGTATTCCAGATATCAGGATAAACGGGCTCGAATCCTGGCAAACATTCACAACTGCGACCCGCATTTTTCAGATTACAGCTACCAAAATTGCCACAAGGGTGATGGATTTTGCAAGCATCTTGGGGCTCTGACCAAACCGACAACCATTCAGTTCCACCCGGTTCCTTCATGTAAAATTGTATCTCTCCGGAGGAATTCATCAACAACCTAGTATTTGCATACGTAGCTAGAGCATCCGAATAGTTAGAAGTAAATGGCTTTCTGAGCCTCTTATATATATTTGTTTTATTTGCATTTGAAGACTTATAATTAGCCTGGTCGAGACTAGGGCTAAAATTTGACAAGAGGAAAGCCACAAGGTAAGGCAGGTCAATTGAACCTGACTGATCACTTTCCCAGTGCACAACAGTTGACCCTTCCATTATCCTGTACGGCCTATCATCTTGTTCTTGCTGAAATGTGAAGTTCCCAGTTGCGGGATTGCCAGAATCCCACCAGGAAACCAACTTTAAACCTTCATCCATGTTCATGCCTGGAAGAAAAGTATCAGTTGGCTCAGCAAAGCTTTGCCATAGAATATTTCCCGAGCTCCCATCAATCAGTACCAAATTCCCTGAATCCATCAGCTTCAGGATCCTGTTAACAGGACTAGAGCTTTCAAGCGTAGTATTGAAATATGAAGTTCCCATCTTATCCAGCAACTTGAGATTGCCATCTTCACCTATGGAAAGATATCCATATGAATGTCGTATCGGTTTATCTTTGTTGGCAACCCATACAACTGTTCTTGAGCTCAAGTTGTAATACCATATGCCTAGATATCTTCCAGCATCGTCACCATCAGCACTGAAGAAGCCCAGTTCAAAGATTTTCCCAGCAGACGTGAGGCTGCTGCCATCATCTGGCAATAAACTGTTAGAAGTGATGGTGTCTCTTGCTACACATGACAGAAACTGACTGGTTCCCTGTGCTACAAGTACAAAGAAAATCAGAGAGAAGCAAGGAGGTTGCATATGGTTTTACAGATTAAAGACTATTGACAGTTTATCTGAATTACACAGAAGTTGATCTCTCTGAATAAGGAAGGAATTGTTGTTCTGATGGGAAGAATCAGAGTCAACCAGAGCAGTGCATGCGGAATGTGGACCGTGTTAGCTAGGCTTTTTTTCTTGATAAACGAGAAGTGGAAAATTTTTTGTCTTCTGCGTTATTTTTCTGCTAAGGAAGTTTGCTTAAACTTCTATATTGAGATTGGGACATAGTTTTTGTTTTAAGATTCTTTTGTATATTATGAAGATGGACATTAACATATTTTTTGATATCCACCAGTGGTTGGATCCAGGTTTAATTTTTAGTGATAGGTTTATTGGACTATATTGTAATCATTTTTAACAGAGTTTTAATTCAATTCATAGTAAACTATAGTATTTGTTTTTAAAAAGATTCTTTTAATTCAATTCACAGTAAACTATCGTTTTTTTTTTAAAAAAAAAAATCGTCTTTTCTCCAATCCAATTTGGAAGTGAAGAATTTCTTGGTCGTATTACATGTAATTGAGCTTACGATTGTCTAAAAAGTCTTGATCTAGTGGCTAAATTTAACATCTTAGGATTTAGAAATTCTGAGTTCAAAATCTCTTCCTAGCCGAAAAAACAAGTTTTTAATTGAGTTTATGATTTGCTGGAGAAAAAAAATTGTTAAGTGTTTTCGTTCCCTATATAGTTTTGCACCTCGAAATTATTGGAGATTCTAGCAAAAGGACAGTTTCGTCAAGTTAATGCCACGCGTGTAAAACGTTTTTTAGAGTGCCAATATCATTGGCTTTTGGGTATGACAGCATTTATAAGGTCGGTACAAAAATGTAATTATAAATATTTTGGGAGAATATATGTACGTAGGTATGTTGAACCAAAAGTAATTTGGCTTGATTACAAATAGATTTATACAATGTAATTGCTAAAGTCGTTAGAGCAAATGGCTAAAATAATCTGTAAACTATTTAGAATTTCGTATTTTAGTTGCTGAGCTTTTTATTTAGCTAAAAAGTCATTTAACTAATAAAAAATATTTTTTTTTGTCACTCAATTAATAAAAAATTTTACCTTTATTCATTCAACAAATGAAAATTTACATTTTTCCGTCACAAAATGTGATAATTGTCTTAATTAGCTGAATGATAATTTTAATTGAATCAAAAGTTTAATGGCTAAAATGGAGGATTTTAGATAGTTTTAGTTTAACATTGTCACATTTGCTCAATTCGTCAACATTCTCAACTTTTTATTAAAGACTAGTTAATTTATGCCTCGCGCGTGGCGCGAGGTTGCCCGGATATGACAATTGGTATATGCTCAAAAGCATCATGATAAATTAAAAATACAGCATTGCTGCAGTTCAATGCATTAAAGTCAAAAAGAAATAGAGATTATCCAGGCTAATAGTAAACTATTATATTTACATACATAAGAGTCTTTCTACATATACTTTCAGACTAATACTTGCACTAATGGAGCTTTATGATTCCTAGTAGAGACTTTTAAGTAGGCTAGTAGCCTGTTTGTAGTACGTGGATTTGCGAGGATGCTCAAATTTAGATTCATAGCTATGGAATATCCACAATCATATAAAAGGAATATTTACATATATTTATATTCATACATAAGGAATATTTACTTCATAGTGAGTATATGAAATAATAATCAAGTGCAAGTAATAATAGAATCGAGACTATTAACTTTAGATAATGATTAAAATGAACACTAAGTGATTGCCATGATATTAAATTTATGAACAAATTAACTAATTATGCCAAATGACGTTAAAGGTAAAAGTTAAGGATAATTTTTTATACTAAATTTAAGAGCAAAAAAGTAACTAATTAATATTAAGTGTACTTAATGTTAGAAGTGAACACTAAGCACACAAACTTAAAAAGAAATAGATAAAAAAGAAATACACAACACACTATTAATTAATACTGACCATGCTGATAAGATAAGACTGAAAATCACACTTCTTTTTCGTATCAAATCAGTCAATGAATGGCACAATTGGCATTGAACGGCACTATACTATAGCCAAAACACAGTCGAGAAATAAATTCCAGCCATTCAATGCACCAAAGGCACCGCTGCATGGAGTTGGTCATTGATGTGAAATTACGATGCTGCCCACACAATCATGGTGCCAATGAGGGACGAAATTCACTGTTCATTTCTTCATTCGCTCTTTTATGCTCTTAGATAGATAGATAGATAAGATAGATATAGATGTGATCTTGCAATTGACCTTGACGTCGAGAGAATACTCTTTGCGTTATTGTGGCAAAGAAAATTCAATTCTGCACAGCTGAGTGGGAAATGGGGACCTGGAATTAGTGGCAGTCAATTTGCGACGTGACCTTAAAAGTCAAGGTCTTTGATCAACAGGTGCTCTTTACTTTCCTTTGTCCACATTAAGGCAGTTGGCAATAAATATGATATTTTGTGATAATTCCTAGTACTATCTTTTTACCCAAATTTTTGGTGCAAGCAAGTACTAGATAAATACTTAAATTGGAGACAGGAAAAGAACAAAAAAAAATAAAAATTCTTCTTGAGGATAGTAATTATAAAGTGTCCTTCCTGTAAGTACTAATTATTTTGTTGTTAAGGTTATAGAATTATAGTTTGATGTTATATTAGCCAGGAAGAAGTAAAAGTAAACGTATTGTTTCCGCATTTCTGATCAAATTAGATGTAACAATTATAAATATATGACAGAGTTTAACAAAAAGAATTCGTTGAATTTTTTTACTGGTATCAACTTCTTTTTTGCCTGCTAGTAGTATGGGAAATTTTTTTTTTTTTTAAATCCTTCCACCCCGTCTCACATCCTTCTTGCTTTAGAGCCTAACAGCGGAGAAGACTTTAACAAGTAACAACCCTCCCCTGGGTAATCTTCATTTTTAGCCAGCCAAAAAAAAAAAGATGGATTGATAATTGGTGTAAATTGACTAACTTCAAATCACTAGCCGCTTTCTTTCTTTTTCTTTTCCTTTCCTTTGTTTAGTTATTTTTGCCCCATCATTATCATTATCATTATCATTACTATATAAAAAGTATGAATGTTGGTTTTAGGGAGTGCAAGTGTAAGCACTTTTTTATCTTAACTTTTGTTATCCCTAAATTACCCTCATGTCTTTTAATTAGAATTATTGCATTTTAATATGGCACTAATTAAAAGAAATAAAACACGCCAATTGATTACATTTTAATAGTATTGGTAATTAGAATTAAAAATTGCTCATTAAAAACTATTTATCTACTCTTGGACTCCATTTCCAATTATTATACATATCAAAATTTCTTAATTGAAGTATGAAAAATTTCTCATGAGTCATTAGTTGTCATTGTAAGAAGAAAAATCAATCTCAAAAAATAGATACTCTCTAGAAAATGGAGAAACATATAAGGACAAGAGAACCCTTATTCATCTGTATGTCTTCATACATATATCACGAGTAAATTTTACAATTATGCACTTTCTACCAATATGAAGAATTTTTCATGTTGCACCCAATGGAATTTCAATATACAAAAATTGATGACACCTTTATAACTGAAATAGCAGTATTAAACTGGAAAAAAATCTAAAATAGAACCATACAAACCACTATCATCATTAATAGCAACCAATCAAAAAAAATCGAAAAAAATTGTAAACTATTTATAAAATGACATAAAGTAAATAGCAAATGAATTAAAAAACTAGAATACAATTCAAATAATACCAAAGACAACATCAAAATGACTCTGATCTCCAGGAAGACAAACAATATTGGTTTGAGCAAACCAAGTCCATCTATCAAGTCAGAAGTCATCTCTAATATAAGAATTATAATAAGGGTAAATTTAAAATGAAGAATAATAAAATGAAAATGATATCCAAATTGTTTTTGGTGATATTCAAACTACCCTTATTTTTCTAATGATTACATATATTTATTGTATTGCAATATTGGTGAATAATGGAAGCGGTTATGAAATGAAAAGCTTTAAAATTAAGTAAATTTCATTTATGGTGACAATTGTAATTAGACATATTTAGTGCATTCCAATAATTGATAATAATGATAGCGGTTATGGATTAAAAGTTGGCAATTAAAAAATAAAACACCAAAAAATTAATATTAAAATTATTAATTGGCCACAATTCTCATTCCAATTCCATGTCATCGAAAAAACTAATACTAAAACCAAAAATATTGTGCTTATATGAAAAAAGTAGACTTGTTGCTTTTGTTTCGCATTGGATTGTGCTTAAAACATGAATAAAAGAAAAGCAAAATAGAAAAAACTTCAACTATCTCTATCTATAAAATTTCAATTGTTAGAATGTACAAACCAAAAAAACTTTACGTGGTGGATCATTTAGACTCCATTATTGACAAAAATAGAATTAACATAATACAAAGAATTCAAATTACATGTATGTTTAATTTTCTAACTTAATTATATTCTTCATTTATAAAAAAATTGTGATGATTGTAGTTTATATGCAATAGAATCATGAATATACAATAATTTTGGTAAAACATGATATTATCAATATTTGATATATTAGAGTTCAAGTTATAAATTAAAAAGTGTTTGGTTCATAATTTCAAATTTAATCCTAAAGGATATGTCAACTACATTGGAATGTTTTCTGTCTCTTTTCATTTAATAAAAATTTTAAAAGTAACTAGCTCAAAAAATAAATAATATAAAAACACTATTATTATGATGTTGGTGATCAAAATTTCATAAAAAATTTTTAGTATCTAAAGCATAATATATTTTAAGATATTACAATAACGTGCAAAGCACATGAACTATTACTAGTTGTCTCTAAGATTGTCATAGGCATCTGCTTTTGTAGGTTAAATTCAAGAAATGCAGAAAATTTGAGATATGAGTAGTGATGTAACTCTCCAGCTACCAAATGGGATGTATGGTGTAATTGTCCTGTTGCTTCTTGACTAGTTAAAACTGTGTACATATCTTGGCTTCTCATTCAATCTGATTATGTTTCACATAGTTCGAGTTGGGAACATAAACGAAGGTGTAAATTATTAGAAGAATATCAAATCGAGGAAAATTTTCAGCATCTACATAGAAGCGAAAGAAGGAACTTCTACTGAGTGCTTCCTCTTATATGTGACTAATTTTGTATGCTCATGCAACATAAGTGTAAACAAAAAAATTTTCTTTTGAGGGGGCAAATATATTTCTATCAATACCTAAGCACATAACATAAAATGTTATCAAGTTTTTGCTGGGGTGAAAGCTTAAATTTATGAAGAACATTTTCATATCTTCTAAGGGAGCACTTGGCCTGTTTGGATTGCTATTGTTAAGAGTTTTTTGTTTAAAAATGTACTATAGCGACTTGATGTACGTGAAATAAAAGAAAATAATTGAAAAATGTGTTCACAAAAAACGTAAAATCTTTTCTGCAAAAAACCACAATCCAATTCTAATACTTGGGGGATGGCCCTGACCGCCACTCCTTGAGTCCATCCATGCTCATGCGAAGCATTAGGGTGCCCAAGCGGCAGTTTGGATTGGTCAATCGATAATTTGTTAAGCTGTAATGTCTAAGCAAAAATATGGTAAAACCAATTAGTTGTAACAGGCAAATAATATGAAATGAGAGTGCACATGCTATATATAACAATGAAAGGAGCTTGAAAATAGGTATATCAGGTTCGTTCAACGGTGGGAAATGTTATGGACTGACAGAGGACAGACCAGTATGATAAAACTTGCAAGTACATACAAAATAAGCTTGAAGATCGCAAAAGATGAGGAAGAAAAAGAAAGAAGAATGCATGGGAGGCTATTGATCTGGAAAACAAGAAGGAACAAAAAGGTAGGTAGAGTAGGATAGTAAGGAAGGATGTGTAATTGATCCATGCTACGGCTGAAGTTTCCTATATTCACTTGAACAAAAGAAAATGTCAACATGCAGGATCATGAGCAATGGTAATAGTTTTGAGGAGCAAAGTAGAATGAACCCTTCTGCCTACCACCTTGGAAGTGCAATCCTTTGATTTCCCGTTGGCTATGGAAAGTTATTTGACCGTGTTTTTGAATTCAGCTCAACATTCATTTCTGAAATTGAAGTATCTGATGGATGATTGAAAATTTCATTCAATATGTGATTCATTCCCTTTTTTCAGATGAACAAGATTTCCTGTGTCCAAAAGTGTAGCAATAGCTTGATTCATTGCGCGATCAGCAAATTTGGTTGACCAAATTCTGTTGTTTCTTCTAGCAAGGATGACCAAATTCCATCACTTTCTATCATATTTACTCCAGATGAGTCTATGAGCGGATTCTCAGGAATTGCAATCCACGGAATTTTTCCCGTTTGGAAATTTTTTCCGCCAGATTTTCATATACCAGTCTGTTGGGACTAAGATGGAAATGGAGAATCAATGTTGAAGTTTCTTTCAAGAATGATTAGTCTTCAACATACACACATTGATCAGGTTAGAATACTTGAATATCAGCTTTTCTTTTCCCAGAACTGAAATGTGTTAGTGTTGATTCGTGTTAGCTACAAGAGAAAAGACACGAGATACTAGTCCTCTCTTAGAAATTGAATATTAAAATACACCTAAAAAAGAAAATATCTCATTGCCAAGGGAACGTCTTTAACTGAAAGTTTCAGGCATTCTCAACAGTCACCAGAAGAGCTTGCAGTTCTTCTATACGACTCATAATTGGCAGTGGCATTGGAATGCCTTCAGGGTAGGTTCAAATTCATTCCCTGGACAGTGCAACTATGCGGTTAATGCCTTCATCGGCCTTCTTCCACAGAGATAGTTATCTCGTTGAAGGAGTTAGTTTTTTCTTTTCTGGACAAAGCAGGTGTTTTGGAAGTGTGTCTTCTCACCACAAAAGCTGGTTGATTAGGACTTGGAAGAGCTGTTGTTTCGCTACTGAGCATAATAAGAATCTCAGACATTGTGGGACGTTCACTAGGGTCATCTTGTACACACAGCAGGCCAATGTTGATGCATTTGATAACCTCAGTTTCGTTGCATGATTCCAGTATTTTCTTGTCAACAAAATCGATTGATTTCCTTTCTTGCCACAATCTCCATGCCTGAGAGAGTTTTAGAATAAATATGTCATAACAATCCAAAGCTGTCTAAATATCAGTAAATTCAACGACAAGCCTTGAAAAATTCATGCACTTACATAGCCTAGAAGACTAAGGGCTCCTTCAGACTGGTAAAATCCAGCAGAGTTTCTCTTGCCACTAATAATTTCAAGTAAAATTACTCCAAAACTAAAGACATCTGACTTCACCGAGAAAAAACCTTTTACTGCATACTCTGGAGACATGTAGCCACTGCATCACCAGCAACTATCAGAACAGCCATAACCTTGTAATAGATTTTCTGAGACAGGCTGAGAAAAGTAATGTACTTACTAGGTTCCAACTACTTTTATTGTATTTGCTTCTGTTTCTTTACCTTGAACTATTTTTGCTAAGCCAAAATCTGAAATTTTGGGATTCATCTCTTTATCTAGTAGAATGTTGCTTGTTTTCAAATCTCTGTGAATTATCCTCAACCTTGAATCCTGGTGGAGATAAAGAAGTCCCCGTGCAATCCCCAGAATGATGTTGAATCTCAGCTTCCAGTCCAGCAAGATGCAGAGTCCTTGATCTTACAAAATTTGTATGGCAAGCAAATTAGTGGATGATATAACTATTTAAAAAAAAAAGTGTCCCTCGTTCTATTATATTTTGGATTAGACTGATTGAATAAAAAGTTCCCTTGCTAATTGCCTTTAACTACAGGAAATGAAAGTTGAACAAAAGCTTCAAAAACTAACCAAATATAAAGGTATCTAAGCTTTTGTTTGGCAAGTATTCATACAGAAGTATTTTTTCAGATCCCTTGATGCAGTAGCCCAAAAGTCTAACCAGGTTGCGATGTTGAAGTTTAGCAATCAACACAACTTCATTTTGGAATTCCTTCATGCCTTGTCCAGAGTGGCTGGATAACCTTTTTACTGCAATTTCTTTTTCTCCAGGGAAAATTCCCTGCAAGAGTTGTCCATTAAAACTAAGGCTTAATGGAGCATAAACAAGTGGACCTTGGACTCAATAAAACATGCAAGAAGTATAATAACCTTGTAAACAGGACCAAATCCTCCTCTTCCAAGTTTATTTGTGTCTGAAAAGTTATTTGTAGCAGCTAGTATGCTTTCCAGACTGAAATAAGGTACATCGATGAATTTATCAGTTTCATCAACCAAATCTTTGGACTGTCTTTCACTATCATCCGGGTAAGGGATGAGATTCATTGGAATGTTTTCCTTGTCTTCTGATAGGAAGCAACAGTACAAGTTAGGTCCATATATACCTTAGAAGACGTTTGAACTAGAGCATAGAAGTGGTCATTTGCTGCATTAATACCTTTTCTTTTTGCTAAGATTCTCTTTCTGAGACAGAAACAGATTAAGCTGCCGGCAAGTAAAACTACAGCAATCACTGGGGTGACAATGATCACAGCAACATGAGGCTTGTCACGTTGTAAGCTTGTCCCTTCTGAATGGTTGGGATTTGTCAGTATTGCTGCAAATGCAAATTAAACCAGTAAACCAAGTAATAGAAATGATTTTACCGCCAAAAGAGATGATGAAATAGAACCTTTCTTTTCTCTGAACATAATATCATTTTCAGATGATTGTTCGCACCTGAAATGCACTTTAAGGCCTGATTATCCCATTTGTAGTTGGAATTGCAGAGACACCTTTTTTCATGTCTTGTAGTTGCAGCACAGTTGGAATCTGGCCAATCCTGGCACTCATTGGATGAGCTGCAGATTGGCTCCAAGGGAGGTTTCCAACTAATCTGTAGTCTTTGTCCACTTTGAATTGAAGTGCCATTATCTGAACGATCATAATAACACCAGTGATGCATCACATCAAATGGCAACGATTGATTAAGCTGCAAAACTCGGCCTGCCAAGGTCCCGGAGATGGCACTACAATTTTCAGCCCTTTGGCTCTTAACTTGGATAGTAAATCTGCTCTCATCCTTATTGATGCTAATCACTTCATACCTATTATTCGATGTCAAGAAGAAGAGTTGACCTGTGGAGTCATCACAGAAGAAGCTATAGTATGAAGGATCGCCACAGTTAGGCCCGGTGCTCAATGGATACGGTACTATGTACGTACCACAAGTCTGACAATCTCTAGTCGTTGTTTCTGCAAGTCATAATTTAATCAAAAGCAATACCAAACGAGATTATCATGCAAATCTTTAGAAATCACCTTGTTATTAAACATTACCACAAGTCAAATTCGAATATTTGTCAAATTCAGCATTGGAAAATATCATGCATATAAGACTAGGTAATTGAAATCCAATACGATGCTGAATGACTAACAAATGCCATTATGGGTAATATCTTATTGAAAAGTACTGCAAATTCTTATTCAAATGAAACGGTTACCTATAGAAGAAACTGCCACACGGACGGAAAGATTGTGGCCACCATCAATATATTCCTCCTGCAAATTAGTAAGGACTGAAGTCCAAATCAGGCAGCCAGATCCACCATTATCAGTTCCTTCTTGCCCATTAAATCCAGCATAGTAGTATGCCTGGCAATCACAATTGCGGAGACACTCCTGTCTACATGTATCCTCACTGTCAGCACCAGCAGACAGGATGTCCGGTTTCCCCACTTTCATCAACTTCAAATTCAAGAAGGTGTCTGGTTTGGAGGTCTTAGAGCATATAGCCAATTTCCTATCACAACCACCACTAAAATCTCCAGTATTCCAAGCATCAGGAAAAATGGGATTAAACCCTGGCAAACAATCACAATTCAAACCCTCACTTCTGAGATTACAGCTACCAAAATTACCACAAGGATTATAGACACTACAAGCATCATGGGGCTCTGACCATGTCAATGACCATCCATCCTGTTCCAGACTGTAAAATTGTATCTGTCCAGAGGAATTCATCAACAACCTAGTATTTGCATAAGAAGCTAGTGCATCTGAATAGTTTAAGGTAGACGGATTTCTTAGCCCCTTCCCAGGATTTATTGAAGGATATGCACTGGAAGATTTATAAGTAGCCTGATTAACACTACGGCTAAAATTCGATAAGAAGAAGGCCACAAAGTAAGGCAGCACAACGGAACCTGACTGATCACTTTTCCAATGCACCACTCTTAACCCGTTCATGATCTTGGGCAGCCTACTCTCTTGATCTTGCTGAAATGTGAAGTTCCCTGCTGCAGGATTGCCAGTATCCCTCCAGGAAACCAGCTTCAAACTTCCATCTATCCTCATGCCTGGAAGCAAAGTATCAGTTGGTTCTGCGAAGCTTTGCCACAGATAATTTCCTGATTTCCCATCGATCAATGCCAAATTCCCTGAATCCAGCAGCTTCAGGGTCCTGTTAACAGCACTAGAGCTTCCAAGATTAGTATGGAAGTATGAAGCTCCTTTCCCATCCAACAGCTTGAGATTACCGTCTTCAACTATGGCAAAATATCCAGAAACATGCAGTAATGGTGCATCTCGGTTGGCAATCCATACAACTGTTCGTGGGCTCGAGTTGTAATACCATATCCCTACATATCTTCCTGTATTGGCATTATCTTCAGGGCTGAAGAAGCCCAATTCAAATCTTTTCCCAGAAGATATAAGAGTTGTGCCATCATCTGGCAACAAACTGTTAAAAGTGATGGTGTCTCTTGCAAGACATGATTGGAGATTATCCACCAATGCTACTAGTACTAAGAAAATCAGAGAGATGTTGGTAGTCTGCATATGGTTCTACAGGTTAAAGATTGTCGAGTTAATAGGACTACATAGGATTTGATCTCTGTAATTGTCGAATTAATAGGACTATATAAGATTTGAAATAAGAGAGGAATTACTGTCCTGTTATATGAAACCATGGTCAACGGGAGCAGAATACCGTGGACTATGTTGGCTGGGCGATGTGCCAATTGAGCATGGTTAGGTCATGTAACACGGTGTCTTGATTTGATGTTGTTGGACCATTAATTGTTATTTGCATAGCAATTATCCTGTGAATTTGAAGCAAAAAATTTTCATTTACCGAGCATTTCTTTTAAATCTACAAATGCTGTCATGGTCAAATTGATAGAAGTGTAACAAAATTCTTAGAACCAAAAGTAATTTGAGCTAGTAATAAAGCATCAGTTTGGAAGGTGTATTTTTTTGGTGTTTGTATAACATTTTACTAGCCCCCACGTGAATGGGCTGGTGGTTGGCGCCTCCTCCTCGGGACCGTTAGGTCCTGGGGTCGAACCTCCGCAGCAACATCAGTTCGCCGTGCATTTATTGACAGGTGCCGAACCTGTGCAATAATAAGTACCTACTCGAGAAAAATACCGATTTTGTATATAGCGGTGAGTAGGGTCGAATCCACAGGGACTGGGGATAATTCGTTTCTTCTAGAGTCCAAGGTATGGGGGGTTTTGGATTAAATGCTAACTAAATAAATTAAATGCAAAAAATAAATAAAAGGAATAATTATTGGAGAAACTCTAGCCAAGGGTACACTTCAGAAATGGTTCAGGCACTGATCATTGATTCACAGATAATTCCACATTTATTAATAGATTAGTTATAGTTGTCATGCACGCGATAAACAACCAACCCTTCCTTAATTTGTCGATAGCCAAGGTACGACCGTTGACTATTTCTCTAATCAGGAAACAACCCTAGGTACGACCGTAGGATTTAATTTTCTAGATTTGCATTAATAATTAGAAAGGCCCAATCCTAACTAACAAACACGCTACGAGGGTTTGTTTAAATTAGATCGTATGTTCCCCTGTCATAAACCCAATTACGCCAGTTGCTACTGAGATAGGGATAACGAACAATTACGGATTCAATTACCCCTATTTAGCAAAATAGCCTATATGAATAATTAAATATTGCGCATCTATTCAATCACTCACACGAGCTATAGCAATTAAAAGCAGGAAACATATAAATACCAATAAATTAAGGAAGCAATTAAAATAAATTAGATCTCACAGTAATTGTTGAACCAAATCTTTAGTTGTCCCCTTGACTAGAAAAGCTTAACCACGCCTCATGAGAAAATCTCCCCGTTGGGGAATATTGTCGAATACCTGGCGTGTGTCAGAGGCCAGTCCAAAGAAAGAAAACTAGAACTAAACTAAAAAACTAAAACTAAAGCCCTAGATATCTTTTGCCTCTGTACGTGTCCCCTTTTAAAGCAACAAAAGAAAGATGACTAAAAGCTATCTAGGTGGTCCCCACACATGTGGACAAAGCCTCCCAAGTACTTCTTGTTCCAAGTCTCGTTGCTTTCTTTGAAGCCCAAATGACCAAATGCCTTTCACTAGCTTATGGTCCCCCACCAATTCAAGGGCCCAAGGATTGAAACCCTTAGAAGTCTCCATATTTTTCACAAAGTTCCTCCTTTTTGGTAGTTTTCTGCTTCATTCCTGAAATTGATTCCAAATACCAAATATGAGTAAATATCAGCAATTAACACAATATTTGTCAGGGATAGAAGGGAAAATTAATAATAAAAATACTAACAAATTATACCCTATCAATTCCCCCCACACCTGAATCATGCTTGTCCTCAAGCATAAGAACAGCAATTGAACACCAAAATTTTGACAATGGCTATTGCTCTAACTATCATATTGCCAAGATACCCAAAAAAACATATATCAAGCATCACAGTTAAGATCCAAGAAAAATCACTCTGGTTAGCTTCTCAACCACCAACTCCTCCAATTTAAAGCAAACTAATCTAAGAAAAAGGAATGGTTGCTCACATTTATCAGCAAATGGTCCAACTATTAACCAAAATCTCGACATTGAGATCACAAACTGGCAAGCTGACTTATTCACATACTAACACAATCTTTATTTTATTATTTTTTTCTTTTTTTTTCTTTTTCTCTTTTTTTTTTTTTGAGTAACAAAAGACTTAGTCTATAGCCCTTAGAGCCTTTTGACGCGAACTCCAACATTTGATAGATGGAGGAGCCCGGTTACTCAGCTCCAATCGCTACAGGACCACGCACTCATAGCAACTACTACCTTTTGACGCGAAAATCGACACTTTAGGTGAAGATCCCCGGTTACTCAGTAGTAACTACTAGCAGAGTACAGTCTGCTCTTATTTACAACCATACAGCACAATAACTAAAAATAACACAAAAATAACCGCAGCCAGCCTCAAATTTCCAAACATGGAGAACTAAAATTAATAGCTGGACCAATTCACATGAAAAATGCCAACAATCATTCCCTATGCCTAGAAAAGTTAACCAAAAATTGGAAAAGTTAAGCAATTATTGATATTCACCAAAGCGATGTTCCTGAACTCAACCACATCAACTTGATACCTTTTTATTAATAAACTTGGCAATAACAGAATTAGAGACAACAATCCGGCATCAAAACTTGGTATTCATATGAAGACTGACCACTAGAGAAAAGAAAAGAAAATAAACGAAAGAGGAGATAAATATCAAACTAAAAATAAAGGAAAAGCCTTTAGAAACTAAAAATAAAAATACTAGCACCCCAACTGCTCTCCCCCCCACACCTAAATGACACATTGCCCTCAATGTGATAATGTAAAAGCAGAAGGAAGGAGAGGGGCGTCGGTACTTCCCTGGAGTCATCAAAATAGGGGCGGTGCAGGTGGAAATTGTGGATCAACCCGCATCTGGAGCTAGTGCCATTCGTGGCTTCACCATGGACTCTAGATATCACTCTAAGCAACAAGAGACTACAATTGCCAACAAATAATGGAAGCCGGGAATTCAAAGCAATAACAATTTTAAAGCCAACCCAACGAATAAAAAGCACAATTCAACCACCCAGAGGACATACAAGTACCCCAACACTTATAGCAATGGCAATCAATGACCACCTATGGTCCAAACGTAGTCAAGTTCAGAATCAAGACAGTCCAAAATGCAACAAGTGTTCCAAAGAGCTTAGTAAAGGAAACCAAAAGGATAAAATGCTCCTGAGCAAGGCAAGTAGAGGTAACCACTTCAATAAGCAAATTTAAGCGTAACAGGCACCTCTTAATTTAACCAACAGCCGCAGCAAATTACCCACAACTCGACACAAATTATACAATTTAGACACAAATGGACCCAAAACCGTAACAACTGTCTCCAATTGGATAGTTAAATACCCAATTCAACCTGCTAAAATTAGCAATTGGCCACAGAAATTGGCAATTCCAGCAACCACAGTTCAGGATTCGAAAAACAATTTAAGCACTAAGGATCAAGAAACTGTAAGCAACAATGCAACCAGTACCACTGGTGTATACACAGGGAGGATTTAAATCAAACATCAGTAACTCAATAAATATCAGAAAATATCCCCACGTATGTCAGCAATTAAACCCAATTCCACTCAAAATCTCAACAAATATCTCCAATGGACAGTCTTACACAACTTAACCAACTGAAATTAGCAAATGTCCCCAAGAAACTGACAAAACAAGCAATAGTAGTTCAAAATTTGGACTACAACTAAATCAAAATGTTGTTTCAGTTTTCAATCAGGTGGCCAACCAAGTAGAATCAATAAATGTTAGGCAAACTACCACAACCAGTACCACTGGTGTATGCACAGAGAAGAATTGAATCAAACAGCAAACTCAATTCACTAAGAAATACAAACAACACTAGATAGTACTTCAAGAGCCTAAACAAATGCCAATTATATTAGACTAGGCAAATCAGTTGCAGGTCATAACCCAATGCACTGGCTCCAGTAACCCAGATGCAATTCAATCAAATGGACTCAGTGAAATCGCAAGCATCAAAACCCCCTCAACATCAAGAAATCAGAATCGGGGACCACAAAATTAATAAGAAAAACCTGGCACCAGGGCGGTTGAGCTACCGACGGCGGTACTGAGCTGTGTGTCCCGAGTGGTGCAGGTTGAGTGGTGCGTGAGGGGAGAATTGGGCTAGACGAGAGGCGGCGCGCGTGTAAGGGAGCAACGAGCTGGGGCAGGTCGCGCTTGTTGTGGGCTTGTGGGCCGCGGCTGGTAGTGGCGGCGACAGCTGCTGTAGTGATGGTGGAGCGGCGCGTGCGAGGTGGAAGACAGCAGAGCTGCGCTAGCAGCAGTCGCGCGACTGAGGATGAGTGACGAAGGAGGAGCTCGCGTGTGGCGGTGGAGAGAGGAGATCTGGCGGCGGCGTGAGCTGGTGGTGGAGGCGCGCGAGCTGGATGAGTTGTGCGGAGGAAGCTCCTGGCGGCGGGTTGGTGGTAGCCGCAGGCGGCGGGCGCGCACCGTGGGCTGCTGGTGGAGCGCGAGCTCAGGCGGAGCTGCGCACTCGGCTGTTGGCTGCGCGCTCGATGGGAGGAGAGGGGCGCGGCGCTCGGCTGGTGGAGGTGGAGGTCCGTGGTGGAGGTAGAAGCTGCGATTAGCTGGTGGAGGTGCACCAGCGAGGTGGGTGGCGGACGATGGAGGGCAGCCGAAAGAAGAAATAAAAGAAAAGGGAAGCAGGGCAGCGGGGAAGAAAGAAGAAGAAGAAAGAAAAAAAGAAAAGAAAGAAAAGAAAAAGAAGGAAAAAGAATTTTTTTTTTTTTGGCAGATTATTTTTCCATATATCATCTCTTTTTTTTTTTATTATTGACAAAATTTATTTTTGAAATTCAAAAGTAGTGATTAACAGGAAATCAATAATCGTTCTTGAGTTTCTTTGAATACTTTCCTTTCCCGCGAACGTGACGCGGGCACGTCAAGAGAGCAAGAGAGCTCCCAGAAGTTTCTGGTCGTGAACTTCCTGCACATCACCACGCGGGCGC